TGACTTGTCACTTTTAAACCAGCTTTTTTTTTTTTTTTTTTTTGCATCACTGGTCAGTGACTGGTTCAATCGTGTGATTGACAAGCTAATTTATCCACATATGCATAATTCCATGGATCCATATTATTCATAAAGTCTGAGCTCGAGTACCTCATGACTTTTAAGCCACTGTGTATTTGAGGAAAAGGTTGTCATATGCATAAAAGCTCTAGACGCATGACAGAGGCAGCGGTCAGTTTTGCTATTGATCGTGTGCTGCCTATGACAGATCCATCCTTAAAAGGCACAGCAATGAATTTAGCTTGCACTAAAGCTTGGCTCTTTAGGGAGCTCAATCACCATAGCTCTAAACTCAATAGGTTTTAATGCGAGTGGCCACAGGTCAATACACGTCTGCACACTGGCCTGTGATTAGTTCAGTGGATGGCAAACATAAATCGGCACTGATATACTCAGGCAATGTCAGAACAAAAAAATAAACAGGATCTTACGCTCCTGAAGGAGATGAACCCTACAGTTTGTTTCACACGATGATAGAAGCTGAGCCTTTTTTTACAGTGTTTTTTTTGTTTGTGCCTTGGACAGACAAAGCATGATTTTAATATTTTTTTTCTACGCAGAGGACGACCCTATCAAAGCAGCTTATTAGTATACCAAAGCAGCTCTTCACAGGGGAAACAATCTCTTATTGAACATGACAAGCACATTACCTCCAGTGCAGGAGAAATTGAATCCCAAATTGAATTTACCTAAAAGCCAGTGGTGGAGGTGCATGCATGTGGGTGTGTGTCAGTGTCTCTTTCATGGAGCTGTTTGTCCACAGGGACAGACATTCAGCAGCTCAGATATGAAGTACAGCGTGTTTGAGCCAAGGTGATTTCAGGATGATTAAGATGGTCACACAGGATTTCAACAAGACCAAGCAGACAGACAACGAGACGCCTGTTTCTTGATTTCTATTATTCCTTGTACACAGCACGTGCTGTTTTATAAGCATCCCCTAATCATATTTTTGGTTTATTTCAGCCATTAGACTGTAACAGCAACAGCAAACAAAGCACTGAGCAAAAGTGTGACAAAGTGAAAGAATAAACTAACAGAGTTATCTAGATTAAAGAAACAATTATTGTTAAATAAAAAAAGAAAGAAAAGAAAAGCCCACATTTGAGGGGCTGACCTAGAGGCCATTTTTACTGACTGAATCACTGGCAAACACAATACGTAACTGACTAGCTGAATCACTAACTCGTACATTGACTAACTGTGACTGATTCACTCACATATTGTCTCACTGTGACTGATTCACTGACTGACTCAGCGTGAGTGACTTATTTACTGACTAATTCTCATATTGACTCACTGTAACTGATTCACTGCCTGACTCACACATTGACTCACTGATTCACCATGACTGATTTACTGACTGGCAAGTTCACTTTTTTCCCTTCGTCTGCTCCCGTTAGGGGTCGCCAGAACATTTATCTACATATTTCCTGCCGGATGCCATTCCTGACGCAACCATCCCCAATTTTTATCTGGGCTTGGGACCGGCACTGGAGTGCACTGTCTTGTGCAACCCCAGTGGCTGGGGTTGGTTCCCTGTTTGGGAATCGAACCCGGGCTGCGGCGGTGAGAGCACCAAAGCCTAACCACTAGTCCTCTAGGGACCTGACTGGCAAGTTCACTGACTCACTGTAATTGATTCACTGACTGACACACTGACTCACACACTGACTCGCACATTAACTCACTGATACTGACTGATTTACTGCCCAATGAGCTCACTGACTCACACACTGACCCACTATGACTGATCTACTAACTGACTCACTGTGACCACCTCATTTACTCACTAGCTAACTCACTGACTTAACACACTGACTCACTGTGACTGATTCACTGACTAACTCACTGACTCTCACACTGACTCATTGATTCCCCATGACTGATTTACTGACCAGCTCACATATTGACTCACTGTTACTGATTTACTGACAGACTCACATATAGACTCACTGATTCACCGAGACAGACTCACTGTAACTGACTAACTCACTGACTCATGGCTCATCCTTGAATATAATGTGTAATTCAAACCGGTCTGTGTTGTGAAACAGCACCCCTCTTGGTGATGAGTTTTTAAATGTCCACACTCTTATATTCATATCCCTTCATATAATTTATCCTGTGATTAATCATACACAGACATACTTTTTGGGTTGTTGTTAGCCGTTATCACTGACTATAGTGAGCAACTGAATAATACTGTGTGCTATCTGGGCTATGGCATCAAACTTGAGAAGAAGGGAGGAAAAAAAAACCTGCTGTTGTTCACACCTAAATGATTTGACCTAAAAAGTCATTAGCATTTATTAGCCCAATAAAACTTAATTTGATTAACCCAAAAAACAAATGAGTAAAATTTACATAAACCTCATTAAGCCTAATTTCCTTCCTTTTTATCTATATTAATGTCATTACCTTGGCACAAGCACACACTATCAGTAACCTAATTAATGCTAATTAATGCTTTCATTCATTCATCTACAGTAACTGCATTGTCCGGAGCCTATCCAGGAAACGCTGGGTGTGAGGCAGGAATACACCCTGGATGGGACACCAGTCGCATCCCACACTTTCACACTTAGAGGAAATTTAGAGTAGCCAGCCCAGCTACTAGCATGTTTTTGGGAAGTGGGAGGAAACCAGAGAACCTGGAGGAAACCAACACAGACACAGGGAGAGCATGCAAAGCTCCACACAGACAAAAACCCAAGCTCAGGGTCAACCCAGGAACCCTGAAACTGTGATATGTATAGCTATGGTGCTATGGTAGGCAGAACTGTAGTAAGTAAGTCAAAATGTCATGTTTGATGTATCAAATGCAAATTTAATGATCTGTTTCTGTGTCAGAGTGTTGTCTCATCAGGTGGCTGCTGAATGATTTCTAACCTTATAGTCTGTCTTTGGTCACGTAGCAAGTTACACACAGTCATCCTGTTTGTCCTCAGCACTCAGCTCCATCCAGCCTGTGCTGAAGTGTGTGGTATTGCAGGAAGAACCAATTAAAACCCAATTTCAGAGCTCAAACTCCAGGGGCAGACGGAGGCAGTCGTGAGCTTTCACTTGATAAGCTGTGTGTAGAAAAGTTGCTTGTTTGCTATTGCTACCTGCCTTTTGTACAGTGATCGCCTCAAGCCCTTAATAACACAGGAGATACAACTGGATATTTGCAAAGGATAATAAGCAAGTTCAGCAAATCACTATAGTGTGTGTGTATGTGTGGGCATGTTTTTATACCTTGGTGGGGACAAAATAGCCTGACAAGAATAGAAATATCTGAGTGTTTTTACCATGTTTTACCTTTGGCTGGTTCCCATGAGGAAAACTGTTTTTCTTTAAAAAAAACAAAAAAAAACCTGCAGTGCAAAAATGTTTCTTTTCAGTTTGTGAGGTTAGGGCTAGGGTTGGATTTAGATGTAGCATAGCATTAATTAGCAGCATTAATATTTATAGTCAGTGGAAGGTCCTCACAAGGAGAGTAAAACAAATGTGTGTGTGTGTGTGCTGTCATCTCTTTGTCCATGAGGGCTTTGGAGAAAATGAGTTGTTGTAGATCATATATTGTGAAAAAATATATATAGTGGATTAGATTAGTATCTCATAAGAGGCATGATGAAAGTTGTGTTACTGCTGAAGTCTTGTTTTATAGTTTGATTCAGTGATGTCTGTGATATGATGCAAAAATAATTTATGTCAATCAGTTTTTATCTGTGAAAAAGATTATAATGATTATATAGTTATTAATACTAGTCATTAAACGACCACAGGTCAGAGTGCAGCTCATTATCAGTGAATCTGTGTGCAAAGTTTGAAAAGCAACATTAAAACTGTACAGTTAATCCATGATTATAAAGGAGCAGACCTTTCGTCAAACCCTAATATGAGGCAGAAGACGTATTTTATAAGCATTTGTGTGCTGGGGACTTTGAGATTCTTACAGCAGCCTTTTGTTCCAAAGTGTACTAATGAAAAACACTTTAAATGGACTTTCTGAAGTTTCTGAAGGACACTTTGCATTTTTAAAAGCTAAATAGATAAATGGTGGCTGCAACAACTATTTAATATGAGTACTATGCACAGTGATTAAAATGCTACATGTAAACTGTTGAAGGAATTTCTTACCTTTCATGTAAAAAAAAAAAAAAAATTTCATAAGAACTTTTTTTAAACAGTATTTTCAGTTAAAAAAAATTATTGACTCAAGAAAACTTAAAGTTATTGCAATTTTTTTTATTTGCTCTCTCTAGTTTGCATATTGTTGCTTTTGTTTAAAATCCTCAACAATCATCCATTACCACGTCGAAAACCAAATCTTTCAACAAAAAAAAGAGAGACAGATGGCTGTTTAGATGTACATGTCAGATAATGTATATTAAAAATGTTACTATAATGCTTCTGTAACATAAGTCTCACAGACACACACCACCACAATGTAATTATAAATGGATAAAAATTGCAACATGTCATTCAATGATAAATGAACTATTGCTGTCAAGTTGCTGTGGTATAAAATGAGTAAAACACCTATGTATGTGCTGTTATAGGAAAATACTTTGGGGTGGTAGCAATAACTCTGCTTCGCGTCAGACCTCATCACACCTTTCACCATCCAGCCACTGATTACTTTCCTGTAACAGCACACCCCCAAGTGTTTTATTCCTTACTCATGCATGTTAACATGCATAAACATGCATGTAATAAAAAGTGATATTTTTTAACCCAACATCTTTTTCCTTTTTAAATAAGCCTGCTATACAAACCAGACATAAACTGTTCATCAGGGTCAGCAAACACATGCCACTAGCTGTGCCTTCAAAAAGTGACAGTGTGACTCTGAATGGCTATTTGACCCCTAAAATCAGGGAGCTCCTGAGTTTTCAGAGTGGAGTGCAGAGCTTTGTCATCATCACTTCCGAATACATTACAGCTGCGATTGTCTCTAACATCAGAGGAGAGCTTCCTGCACTGACAGAACTGAGTGTAAATCATAAAAAAGTAAAATCGTAGTGCCCTCCGGAGGCTAAACTGAGACATTAACATCTGCTTGTTTTAGTTTTTTCCCCCTAAAACGCTGTTTATAGACCTACCACTGTTAGTTTTGGTCAACTAATCTGTTTGGCAAGCAATGTTCCAAGTTTGCTGATATTTACTATAACAGTACTGGGACAATTCACTGTTTATCACTCCACTTCTCTGTGTTCACTACATAAAATTTCAATTCTGGCAATCTTTCATTACCTTGAAACCGTTACTACGCTTAGCTGTAACCAGCTGGGGCTTCTTTGGCTTCTGTAGCTCACCATCTACTGGTCACTATTTGATTGTGAAAATACACTATATGGCCGAAAGTTATGTGGACACCCATCCTAATTATTGAGTTCAAGTGTTTTAGCCACACCCATTACTGACAGGTGCATAAAAAAGCACATATCTCCATGGACAAACACTGGCAGTAGAATGGGTCGGACTGAAGAGCACAGTGACTAAACGTGGCACTGTCATAGGATGCTACCTTTGTAATAATTCATTAAAGTTCATTAAATTTCTGCCCAAGTCAACTCTAAGTGCTATTACTGTGAAATGGAAGCATCTAGGAGTAATAACAGCTCAGCCACGAAGCAGTAGACCATGCAAACTCACAGAGCAGGGTCACCGAGTGCCGAGAGCAGAAACATGTTCTCTAGAGTGATGAATCACGCTTCACTATCTGGCAATCTGATGGACAAATCTGGGTTTGGTAGATGCCAGGAGAATGCTACCTACCAGAATGCTTATTGCCAACAGTAATGTTTGCTGGAGGAGGGATAAAGGTCTGGTGCTGTTTTTCAGTGTTTGGGGTAGATCACTTAGTTCCAGTGAAGGGGGATGTTAATGCTAAAGCATAGAAAGACATTTTAGACAATTGTATGCTTCCAACTTTGTGGCAACCGTTTGGGGAAGGCCCTTTCCTGTCCAGGGGATGGGTAAACTCCATATTCGTGCCTCCTGTTTTGGAATGGGATTTCCAAAAAGGTGTTGGTCAGGTGTCCACATACTTTGGGAATATTGTATGTGTGTGAGAGAGAGAGAGAGAGAGAGAGAGAGAGATTCCTGACAGGTATTGTTGCAAGTTCTTGCATACGATTATACTGGGATAGTAAAATCAAGAATATAAAAAAGGTCTTCCAATATCCTTCAGTATCTACTTTGTAATTAAGTGAGAGCAGTTATGTTTAAGTTAATCTGCATATTTTGTACAGCAAAAACCTTTCCCAGGAGATACAAGCAAAACTGAACGATTAATCCTAAACAATCTGAAAATGTAATCAGACTCTGTACATACACAAAGCTTCGGTTAAATACCCTGGTATTTATTCGGCCTCACTCAAATTGATTCATTTGTTTATTCGTTCATTGATTCGTGCTTTCATTTATTCAATCATACAAAGAAGGAGAGGAAAATGATTTTCTAACTAAAACCATGACCATAAACGCAAACTCAGTGGTAGTAAACCTTTCTTCCCTGCATTAAATTATAAACTCATTGGATATATGGACACTCTTTAGGAGTTTATAAGTGAAAATAATCTCAGTGGGCTGATGAACTTTAGGTAATAACAGTGGT